TCCGCAATATTCCAGCTATATGGCGGCGGTCTGTAAATAATTGAGTCTGGACCAGACAATCCAGTGATCAACAGCATGAGTATCGATCTGCGCAATTGGGAACCGATGACTTGTGTCAACCTAGTCAGTGAGCCTGACCACCCGATCCCGTTAGTCGCCTCTTACGACAAGCATAGTCGCCTTTTGTGGCAAGCATGGGTTGCTGAAGACCTATTCTACCCCGGATCTTCACGGGTCCAGGTTTAACTGCTCCCTCATACGTACAGACTAGCTGTTCGTACAGTTTTCATATACGTATATACATCTGAATATTTCTTCTCGGTTGAAGATGTATTAACAAACACGGCGATGCACGCGGAGAACCTAAACAGTCGCTTCAAGTACTTCAGATATGTTCTTGAGACTTTCCTCCTGTCCGGTTATTACGCAGGCTGGGCTTCACTAGTCTACATCTTCAAGAAGGACGGAATGTACGCTTTTCTGTGTCATAGCACATCACAGAGATATACAAACAACACATCATCATACGCTGACATCACGCATGGAAGAGACTTGGATTTTACACAAGAATATAAGGTGTCATTGAACCTTACCTCTGAACGCCCTATGACCATGCAGAATGAAGACACTGGATGCTCTGAACAGGACGCCATGTTTGAGTTGTGTGTTAGCATTTGTAGTATTGCCCTGTTCATGGCTCATATAAATTTTGTATATGGAATCAGGCCAACACGGATGGTTAGCAAGTAAGTACATTCGCGATTTTAAGGGAGACTCTTATCTTCAAAATCGGCACGTCGATCTGGAAACAATGTTTCTCCTGGCGCAAATTTTCATAACTTCCTAAAATAAAACAAAATGTGAAAGAATTTTAATCGTGCGCAATAGGTCAAGCTTTGGCTTTACCTCTGGCAAATGTGTAGAAAATTGAAAGTTTTTTTGGTTTAGATTCAATGATAAAATGAGACTAAAAATCAGACAGTGTTGAGTTCTGTACAGTCATCTTTTATTTATAAAACTATGTTTTGTTATGAAATGTTGACCAGGCTTGAATGATCGAACAACTGGATACTGAAAAATGATAACACAGTTCTATGTTTATTGGCCATGTTTCAGTATAAATTTCAGACACACATGATTATTGGAGTGTTATGCTTGTAACTGTAAACAGTAGATATTTACATTTCACAATATACAAGAAAATCCACCATAAATAGTGGTTTAGTCAAATTACAACGTTAGTGATATTTACGATGTGGAAAATATGTGACAGAACAGAGGACGCTCCTAAGAATTCAAACCTCTCTGGAGTTTTCATACGAACGATGCTATTTCAAAACAACGGTTGTAAGGGGTCATGCATGTTCTTGTGACAAATGAACGTAAACGTGTGACTCGTAAACGTTAGGCGTATTTATTCTTCCAACTGTAATTGATTCAAGAATTTTGTATCACCGTGATACTATGAATTTACAGTGAACACACAATTTCATGTCTTTTCCCAAAATCATAATTATTCCCATGCATTCCGGGTACTGGAAATTGACTACTGTTGGCGCATGGATAAAAAGCAACGACTTCAAGTAAACGTATGGCCTACCTCTTCGAACGATTTAAGTGATGCTTTGCCATGGAACAGGAACAACTGGTTTATTATGATCATTTCGCGGTCGCAATTTATTTCAACCAAGGTTATTTGATTTTACTTGTCGATTGCATGTGAATTTTGAGAGCAAGCTATATGCACACTCTACATGTCACTATCTTAATAACTGTAATTGTAATATCATTAGGATGGGGTGTTGTGGTTTCAGTCTTGTTTGAGGGGGAATGTTGTTTTTTGTGGCGGGTGCCACAGTTCAGGCAGGATGCATTACACACACATTTCCCAACACCTGGTATCATCACAAGTTGATAATGACTAATAAATATATGCCCATGATAACGTAAAACGTGTACAGTCGACTCTATGTTTGCCAGAGGTTTCTTGTGGATGTGGAAAGGCTTCAGTAAGGTTCAGTTTACACACGTGTTACTCTGTACAGAGGCTTAGAAAGTGTTGTTGATCTCACATCTTCTTTCAGTAGATTCAGTGAATTGTTGTGTATAAAGCCGGTAGATATTTTTGGTTATTTACTAATTTGAAAGCAAGGGAAAGTGTTTTAGCACTTTTTCAAAATTAAAATATCACTGAAACTTTACACAATATTGATTTAACTAGCGTTATAACATACGATGTACTATTATAGATACACTCTGCAGACAGAAATGAGCTAAAATAATCTTTACAATTGTACGTTGTAATGTTTGAAGATGTTTGAAACACTTGTGAAAAATGTGAAAAATATATGGCACTCTGTTTTCAGTGAATTAACATTTTGTGTGTAACATATATTTCCTTTTAAAGTTAGTGAGTGAGTTGGATTTAACTTCTCTCTACACGTTAATTAGGTTAGTCCAGCTTGAAGAAGAGAACAGCTGAAAGTTTCAAATCACTTAGATCCTTATAACTTTGATGAAAACGAAAGAATAGGTTACATAACTACTACACTGTTCTCTGATGTACTTAATTACCTAATGTTTTAATTGTTTTAAAATGCTATAAAACGTGTATGAAAATATTATGCCATATTTTTCCAAATACAGATGGCGAGGCATAAGCCATGTTTGTTATTCTGATGGTGTTTAACTTCTATGGGGCTTTGATGACATAACCTTGACCCATAACCTTCTTGTATCATACAAAATACAAGTAACATTGTTTCCAAAGTCTGTTTGATAATTTTGTCAGATTAATTAAATAGCTCATACAAAACTCAATTTGATGGTTGGTGGATTTAATAACGTAGTGACCCGTTGAATATACATGTTAGAATTGGTCTTCAGCAACCCATATTTGTCGTAAGAGACGGTTAACAGGATCGGGTGGTCAGGCTCTCTGACCTGATTGACACATGTCATCGTATCCCAATTGCGCAGATCGATGCTCATGCTGTTGATCACTGGATTGTCTGGTCCATACTCGATTATTTACAGACCGCTGGCATATAGCTGGAATATTGCTGAGTGCGGCGTTAAACAAGAAACCAACCAACCAACAAATAACGTAGTATATTATATAATCATACACTATACTGGTATATGCAAATAACCCTGACCCACCACCGTGCAGCTGAGCCCAGTCTTCTTCATTGAGCACATGGTTTTCAAAGCGAACAGAACACCGGAAGAAAGGGATTGCTCACAAAGTGTTCTAAGACCCCTTGAGCCCCATAAAAGGGGATTTCGACATTTTTGCTTTTCAATGTGAAGCAAAAGCGAGTTTTCTAAATTTTGGCACACATTTAATCAAGGCAACAGGTGAGCCTACTCTATGTAACTCAATGTAAACCCCAAGTTTAACCAGGTTTCAATCACATCAGGACCACATTGTTCGGTCGTATACAGCGATAACATCAGAATGGCCAACATTATACGAATGAATAACTATGGTTTTACTTCGTTTTTAGCAACGTTACAGCAATAATATGGCTGGGGACATCAGAAATAGTCTTCGAGATAACTAACGAACACTTTAACAGCGAGGCTACTGTTTGTACAAAGCGTTAGACCGTTAGTATGGTGGTTGAGAAGGGACATCGCTTTATCAGCTTTATTAATGACATGACGAAAGAATGGCATGAGTCGCGAAAGAAATAACACGAGACAGTAAAGTGATAAAACGAGATGGTAGTCCATATCGCTTTCCGGTTTTGTGCTATTGCTTAATCGCTTTTTCACTGTAAAGCCCCCTCTCGAGCAACACATAGATTGCATATGGCATTTGTATATCTACAAATAAAAGTATGATAATGTAACAGATGGGAATTTCACTTTATCATCGGGTCAATAATTGTTGAGTGATTCCTTATTTGGGGTTGGGGTTGAGTCATATTGTTGTTCTTCATTTGTAGGGAATGATATGTAAAAACATAAACGTGTTCATGCATGCTATTGTTTGCATAATATACATTGTAATTTTCATTCCATTATTATCGATTCAAATTAAACCTCGTGAGGGTTGTTGTTTCGAGTGTGAGAATACATTGAAGCATTGTTCAGAGAAGCACAGTGGTTTCGCCACAGTGATTTTAAATAGTTCATTTGTCTCAATTATACGCCAGGTAGGTTTCAGACTTTAATAAACGCTTAATATATGAAACTAAGCATGTCGTTTTGAACATTCATTTAACTGAATGAAATACAATCCTACCTCTCCGGTGGCACCCATCATAAACATAAAACTGTTCACCTAAAGAAATTTGGGATATGGTACACGTCATAATATGGAATTGTTTGGAATGTCCTCCATATGTCTACTATATACATTTTTGATAGCTTTACTGTTTTCTTAACTACTACTTGTCTAAACGTTTTTACCCCTAGATTTTACAAATATGTTTTCAATGAGGAAGTCCAGCATGGCACGTATTGTTTTCCCAGTAAACTTCAAATGACATTTAAAGAGTTTTCTAAGGCCCATATTTGGGCCCTTGTGTTTTATGGCAACAGGTGAGCCTACTCCACGTGAAGTTTCACAGGTTTCATTCTTGATAATAATGTCACAAAAATGTAGGACCGCTAAGGTCGATCACATATGGTTGGCCAACATATTGCACGAGTGAATGAGTATGGTTTTTACCGGTTTGTAATTGGCTTTCATGTTTCGTGTTGTTCATTTAACTAAATAGTGTCACAAATACGGCAGTGTTTGAGGAGCATATGCCTTGCCAGTTGAACTGTGTTGGATAGTTTGTTCATTCATTCATTTGTTTGTTCATTCATGCATTCTTCATATGCGGGCGTTATACAAGCTGGGCAACAATAACGTCCATCCTCAAGAAATAGCTGACACAAATGCACATCAGCTGTTCTAATTTTTGTAATTGAACTGTAATTGAATTGAATTGTAACACTGCGATGTGCGAGGAGAACATAAACAGTCGCTTCAAGTACTTCAGATATGCTGTTGCTACTTGGGCATTCCTTGAAACTTTCCTCCTGTCCGGTTATTACGCAGGCTGGGCCTCACTGGTCTACATCTTCAAGAAGGAAGGAATGTTCGCTTTTCTGTGCCATAGCACATCACAGAGATATACCAACAACACAACATCATCATACGCTGACATCACGCATGGAAGAGACTTGGATTTTACACAAGAATATAAGGTGTCATTGAACCTTACCCCTGAACGTCCCCTGAACATGGAGGATGAAGACACTGGATGCTCTGATCAAGATGCCATATTTGAGTTGTGTGTTACCATTTGCAGCATTGTATTAACTGTCGTTTCCCTGGTCATGGCTCATATAAATTTTGTATATGGAATCAGGCCAACACGGATCGTTAGCATGTAAGTACATTCGTGAGTTTTAAGCAATGTTTAAAGATGAAATAAGGAAAATCGACCACGATCAAGTGGTGAACAAGTGATCACAACACATTTCTTTGAACATTACGTATACTCTCATTCTTACGTTTTAAGCAGTTTCTGTAAACGACAAACCATGCCATGATGATCAACAGCAACCATTTCTTATAGCATAAATTACAGATTCCCGTACAAACTATAATGTACCATTTCGATTTAGAATAAATAGTTGTAGAATTCAGAACAAACACAAATTACGTTTAGAATGATGCTTTAGTCAAAGGTTATATTTACCATGCACCTAGCTGTCAGAAGTCGTTTGCAGTAATATGGATGATAAGAAAGCAGAAAAAACATGCAGTGATTTAATGAGCGTTATGTAGTTTCATAAGACTTACATGTGAGAATTGAAGTCAGAGTAAGTGATTTTTTATTGTGAAGCTTTGTCCCCTAGTGATACGGCGTTACTAATGAGCTACCAATTTACAATTTCATCTGTGATTTGGTAAATTTCTCTTTTTGTCTTGAAGTCTTGAGTTGAGTTTTACGCCGCACTCAGCAATATTCCAGCTATATGGCGGCGGTCTGTAAATAATCGAGTCTGGACCAGACAAACCAGTGATCAACAGCATGAGCATAGATCTGCGCACGTCAGCGAGCCTGACCAGCCAAGCAATTATGGTAAAATCCTTGACGAATTCATTTCCGATAATAATTCATGTATATATTTAATGATGACTCAGACACTTATTTGCATCCAGCTACGGGAACATTTTCTTCCCTGGATCTGTCAATCGCCGACTCCATCTTGTATAATGAATATGAATGGACAGTCCATGATGTCCTAGTGATGATCCACTAATATCAAGAAGGAACTTCGCCTTGGCAGATTGGTCATTATACAAGACTCTATGTACTGAACACTTAAAACATGATGTTTTTGAGAACAGTGAAGATCCTATACAGTTATTCTCAGATATACTCAATGATATTGCTGACCAAACTATACCCAAGTCCTCTGCAATTCCACATATTCGTAAACCATGGCTTACTAATGATGGTAAACGGGCCAGAAAGAGTAGGCAGAAGGCTGAAAAGTATTTTCGCCGACATCCTTCAGTTCATAAATTAGATAAAGTAAAAAAATTGAATGCCAAGGCTCGACGCACTTTGAAGGAGAATAAGCGTCAGTCTTGGGGGAACTATATTTCTAAAATACATTCTCGTACACCGATTTCAAAGGTGTGGAATATGATACAAAGAATTAAGGGCAAAGGTTCAAAATCTATTGTTCACCATCTGAAGGATCGTGACAATTTATTAACTGATATGTCTGACATTGCCAATATGCTTGGTGAAACTCTCGCCAAACATTCTTCTTCGTCAAATTCCGTCCCAGAATTTCAACAGTATCAGAAACAACAGGAGAAGAAGAGAAGAAATTTTAACTCAGACAATGGTGAAGACAATAACGAATTATTTTCATTACATGAGCTACACACTGCCCTTGAGCAAGTTCATGATACAGCAACAGGCGCTAATAACATACACCATCAGATCTTGAAGCATTTACCGGAATCATGTTTGGAAACACTTCGAAATATTTTTGATATAATATGGACTTCAGGGAAATTCCCAACTTCGTGGCGTAATGCCATTGTAGGCCCCATTCCAAGACCTGGTCCGGATCATACTGATCCGTCTAATCGTAGACCAATCTCTTTAACGAGTTGTATCTGTAAAACCATGGAGCGAATGGTAAGCAATATATTAACTTTTATCTTGAAACCAATAACTTTATTACAAATATTCAATGTGGTTTCAGGAAAAATCGAAGTACCATTCATCATTTGGTACGTTTAGAATCCTTTGTTAAAATGCTGTAATACATAGACAGCATGCAGTATCGATATTCTTTGATCTCGAGAAAGCATACGATACCTCCTGGAAGCATGGCTTTTTGAAGGATTTACAAGATTTTGGTTAAAGGGGTCGTTTACCTCTTTTATATCACAGTATTTTTAGCAGACAGGCAATTTCAAGTCCGATTTGGTTCAACCCTGTCTGACCATTATATAATCAGGATCAGGATGTCCACAAGGCAGTATTGTGTCTGTCACTTTATTTAGTATCAAAATCAACAGTTTATCCAAGGTTCTAAATGATTCAATAGATGGATAACTTTTTGTGGATGATTTTAATATTTCTTGTCGCGGTAAAAATATGCATACTATTGAACGGCAACTGCAGGTGTGTGTAAATAAAATAAATAAATAAATTATGTCTTGAAAACGGCTTCAAATTGTCAAAAACTAATTGTATATACTTCTGTAGAAAATATAAGCCTCATAAGGACCAAGAAGTAAATGGCACTCCCATCAAAGTTGTCAAGGAGGCCAAGTTCTTGGGTCTAATTTTTACTCACATTTAACGTTTCTGCCACATATTAAAATCAGTTAAAACTAAATGCCTGCAAAAGCAACCTAAAACTACTGGATTCTGTCCACCACCAAGGTCTAAGACTTTGTCTCGGATCCTTGAGAACTTGACAGTCTCTACGTCGAGGCTGATGAGCCATCTCTTAACCATCACATGATATAAAATTATCTTTACAGTGTATAACAAAACTATATTCAAATGAGTCAAATCCTGCATTTAATTGTGCTGTCAATCCTCCTACCACCAAATCTACACACCCTCATATACCTCTGAAATGCTTAATCATACAGTATTAGAAAATAGGAAATTTTGATAGATATAAATAAATCTGTTTGTACTGAATTAGCCGCATTGAGCTCGAAGATTCAGAACCAGATGTAGTCTAGACTGGCTTCATTTTGGACTATTGCATTGCAGAACGGGTTGGGCGGAAAGTTGTGAGTATGAGACAGACTACTGGCATGTCTAAGGTCCCAACGATATAGAACGAATGTGGTTCTTACAAGGAGGGAAACGCATTTGAAGAAAACTAATCTCCTAGTAATATTAGCATTCGTATTTTGGAACATAAGTATATAGATCTGGGCAAGCAGAAGATTTCCTTCATTTAAAAAAAACCCGCTCTGCTGATCACAGCTAGTGGATTCCTAATGTCTCTTGGAACAATGCAGCGGACTACAGCCGATTTGGTAGTGTTCATCTGGTCTGAGGTATGACAGTATTTTAGGACTGACGTTGTATTGACCAGTACCATGATGCGCTAAAAACTATTGTCAGTTCATTTAACTCTCTGCTTCACTGACACCGCAGTCATGCAACATCGAGAAATGAACGACAGTTGGTCTTTTAGTATCCTTCTAGGCGAGGTCACCCACTACTGTCAATATTTAGGATTGACGTTGAATTGACGTTCATCAGCTGATGAAGGTAGTGATTCACATGAGCTAAATTCATTATGCGGTAACTATTGTCAATTCATTGACCCTCTGCTTGAAGGACAACGTAGTCATGCGACATACTGAAATCGGGAATGAACAACAGTTTCAAGGTTTTTTTCAGTGAAAAATCGAATTCTAAAGCATCTAACTCGTCTGTCAACGTCTATACCAACATCTGCGCGTGTACTGAATAGCTGACAGTGGTTAAATGTAACTTGAAAATTCCCTCTCTGAAGTACGACTTGTGCAGAGACCAGTTGATATTGGCGACATTCATTGTGTACCCTATAGTAGCATTTGGAAAGACCTGCTATCCTCAGATTGACTACGCACATATTCATAAACCATTCTCACGGGTTAACAAATATGTTGGATTCGTAAAACAATCTGGGTAAAAATTGATCTTCAGCAAGCCATGTTGTCGTAAGAGGGAACTAATGTGATCGAGTTGTCGTTCTCACTTTCTTGTTTGATGCATGCTATCGTATCCCACCTTCGAAGATCGATGCTCATAGTGTCATGACCATGTTATGTAACTCTTTTGTGTATACCATTAGATATTACTAAAACTGAGACCTACATATTTTTATGAATGTTATAGCAGAAGCAAAATGTTTAAATAAATATTATCCAGGAATATCTTTGAGTTGTCCCTAAAAGTAGGCACTCAGTGATTTGTATCTAAAGCAATACATTTCTGTAGTAAAAGATCTTCATCAAATTTTCTTTATATAGATAAAGTTGCAAATAAGTTTAGACTAAATCGTCCCCGTAGTAGACCTTCTTCAGCTTCATCTCTGTGCATGTAAAAGCCAATGTACAGGAAGGTGTAGCTGTAAGAGGTTGAACCTGTTGTGTACTTCAGCATGTGGATGTGGACCCGAAACATGGTCAAGCGATCTTGACATTGTTGACATTGACTAACATGTCAACTGGCAATACACTATATATATATGACTCTTAAGAACAATAGATACGAATTCATATGAAGGACATGTCTCTTGCATTATGATGACATGACTGACTCATCATTCTTTGATGAGCAAAGAAAGACATCTTTAATAATATAATTGTATATACATTTAAGAGTTTACAGTTGTGTTGCATGCATTTAATGATAGTCCAACAATATATTCGACATATTTGATATCGTTGATACTATGTAGAGCATGGAGCTGTTACTGTTGAACAGACATTATGTAATATTTTGCTGATCTAAATACAAGGTATCAACTTTTGTTTCCTTGTAATGGTTTTTCATGCCAATCAAACATATATGATCTTCAAATGATATAGCTGAAATAAAAAAAATGTAATTTTGGTAAAATTACACTTAATTTGTAAAGTTAAACTCATATATTTCTCATCAAATGCACTTTCTATGAAAATTGACTTTACCAACATATTTTTGCGATGAGCATGTATATAATATTATTGTCCTGATATTTTAAATCATGATCTGAGCATTCCACAACTACTTTTTTATGAGATTCGGTCAATCCAAACCAGAGTTATTAAATTAAACCATCCAGTCGTTGGTTAAAATATTACTATAACTGAAATGACATGTTGCACCTTAAACAGGGCCCCTGCTTGGTAGTCACGCACGATAGCTGATGATTACCGACTTTAAATCAAAGCTAAGTCATTCCTAATTGTGAAAAATCACATCCTATTCGGTCCCTAGAACTGCACCACATTTTCACCATTTTGGGGCTTGACCATCAGGCATAATGAAGTCGGATCGTAGTACCATTTCAAAACAAGTTTCACACTACCCCCTCCGTCAACACGTAATGTGTTTGAATGCATGTGTCCGAAAAACTGAAAACTGTATATATCAACACGGGCAATAACACCTGAAAATTATATACCTTCGATAATGTACGCATGTTTCGGAAGGGTTGTTGACGTTTCCATTTGTAGATATTCACGCAGTTTTAGACGTGATTATACAAGCATGCTTATGTCCATTTACTGAATTGAGTTTCACGGCATTTTTGTGTGTCATATGTATGTCTTTCGTATTTAACTTCTCGTTACAAACTAAGTAATTTGGTCACATCACGGCGATCGGCGTGATGTGAGGGAAGCTGTGTGAGAAATAGCCACTGGCCCGCTAGCCCGTGGCTAGTAAAAATCCATTCGAGCCAGTAAATCTCCACAGTCACTAGCCCAACTGACTAGTGAATTGTCATTGGGGTCATTTTGTAAATACCCATGTATATCACTCTCTCCGACTTGTTAAGTTATAATACACTTTTAAATCATGCAAGATTATCACTTAGTTTTGGGCTAACAACTTTCCGACATACCTAGCCCGACTGTCTGGCAAAATTTGGAAACTATTTCGCACACTGGAGGGAAGCATGAAGTAATGAGGGCCTTCGGCATTAACTGTGAAGAAAAACACAAATGAACCTGCCTTTTGGACATGAAAGACTGACCTAATGTGTACCATTTTTCACTCAAACTTTCATGTATGGTCTTATCCGATTAATTGCAAAGCAATAATGACAGTGGTTAATCGGTATATCAGATTCAATGGAAATTAAATATGCCAATAGTGGTCAGTGGTTAAAGCGTTCGCTCACGTTGAAGACCCGATATCGATTCCTCACATGGGTACAATGTGTGAAGCCCATTATTGGTGTGCCCCGCCGTGATATTGCTGGAATATTGCTAAAACTAAACTCACTCACTCTAATGAAGGATGGCTTCGCGTTGACAATCATTCTAGTAAGCTGCGTGACCCCCCTTAAGACCAACCTGTAGACGTATCACAGAATGCACAAGTCTTATACCATGATATTATACAAGAAGGTATGTGTGTGGTAGCCGCAGAAGGTATCACCCCCACCACATCACCCCCACCTTACATGACCTTACATGCCCATCCGACAGAGAATCAGCTATAAGATCTTGTGTCATGTGTATCGATGCCTGTCTGAAGATGCTCCACAAGATCTGTGTGATTTGATCACGGAGTACAAACCAGCTCGACCACTGCGGTCAGAAAACAAGCTCCTGTTGCAAGTTCCATCTGTGAAATCTGTGAACTACGGACAACGTTCCTTTGCTTTCAATGCAGCAAAGGAATGGATCAATCTCCCACTCAATCTCAGACAGTCTTCAACTCTTGCCTTCTTCCAATCTCAGCTAAAAACCTACTTATTTAATACTGCCTTTCTAGAATGACTCTTAATACCCACACATATGTGCGCTTAGAGCATGCATTGAGCATGGATTAATGCGCTATATAAATTCACTATCATTATTATTATTATTTATGACTGAAAGCGAGAATAAATGTGCATGTTTGTTGAGTGAAGTTTCTTCAAAGTCTTTCTCTTTTTCAGAACATTGTTGGTGTTAGGATCTGCTATGTTTGCTGGGATATCTAAAGGTAAGCTTCAGTATTAAACAATGAGTGAGTTAGTTTGCTTTTACGCCGCTTTTAGCAATATTCCAGCAACATCACGGCGGGGGACACCGGAAATGGGCTTCACACTTTGTAGCCATACAGTATCAGATGTCTTCATGGCATATTTTATTTAAACTTTAAGCAGCATAGTTTTTGGTTGGTTCCAACACGAGTATGTAAAGGATTTTTAACAATCATATTAAGTACTGCGGTGTGCCTCAAGGTTCAGTATTGGGTCCGATATTATTCATCCTTTATACAAAAGAATTGGGTCAAGACATCGACCAGCACAAGTTGCCAAGACACCTCTACGCTGATTATACGCAGCTCATGAAAATGTTCCGACCAATAGCATCCATAGAAGAAGCAGCCTCTGCCGACGTTACCACCTGCTGTACACAGATAAAAAGCTGGATGAACATCAATAAACTCAAGCTTAACGACGACAAGACGGAGTGTATGCTAATAGGACAATCTGCAAGATGTACCCAGTCAGGTCTCACCGCAGTTCAGACTGGAGCTCAAGCATTGATGTCACTCGGTCTGTGAAGAACTTGGGTGTTGTTTTGGACTCAGAACTGTCCACGAAGCAACATGTCAGTCATATCTCCAGAGTCTGCTCTTTCCAGTTGAGGAATGTCAGCAACATCAGAAAGTACCTGACAAAAGAATCTCTTATCATCCTGATTCTCACCCTGGTAGCATCTAGGATTGATTACTGTAACAGCCTCCTTGCCGGTGCACCCAAGTCTGTTACCAACAAGCTCCAGCACATCCAGAATACAGCTGCTCGGATAGTCTCCAGCTGCAGGAAGTACGACCACATCACCCCCATCTTACATGACCTACACTGGCTACCCATCCGACAGAGAATCAGCTATAAGATCTTGTGTCATGTGTATCGATGCCTGTCTGAAGATGCTCCACAATATCTGTGTGATTTGATCACAGAGTACAAACCAGCTCGATGACTGCGGTCAGAAAACAAGCTCCTGTTGCAAGTTCCATGGACAAAGTTCCTTTGCTTTCAATGCAGCAAAGGAATGGAACAACCTCCCACTCAATCTCAGACTGTCTTCAACTCTTGCCTCCTTCCAATCTCAGCTAAAAACCTACGTATTTGATTCTGCCGTTCTAGAATGACTCTTAATACCCGCACATATGTGCGCTTAGAAATGGAATTGAGCATGGATTAATGCGCTATATAAATTCACTATTATTATTATTGTTATTATTATCAAGTTTGAGTTGGTTAGCATCTTGATAGAAAATGCCGATAAATGGTATGGTATCCAGTACAGCGGCATTAACTTAATTATTATGTGAAATATGCGCTATATAAATTCACTATTATTATTATTGTTAATTATCAAACATGAAATGCCGAAAATGGTATGGTATCCAGTACAGCGGCATGTGCATGAAAAGTCACTAGAAGTTAATGAACATGAAATGAAAAACTGTGCATGAAAAGTCACAGAAGTTTTTAGATAGGAGTTTTTGTTGTGTGTTGACTCTAAACCTGTGAAGTTCCGGGTTAGAATTGGTCTTTAGTAACTCATGCTTGTCGTAAGTGGCGACTAACGGGATCGAGTGGTCAGGCTCGCTGACGTGGTAGATACATGTAATCGTATCCCAATTGCGTAGATCAATGCTCATGTTTTTGATCACTGGATTGTCTGGCCCAGACTCGATAATTTACAGACCGCCGCCATATAGCTGGATTACGGAGTGCGGCGCAAAACTAAATTCACTCACTCACCGTTGACTCCATCGTTCCTTAACGACCAAAATATGGATAATAGGTTCATTTCTATAGCGTAACGTCATAATAGGCGAGCAAACCTTTGCTTGCAGACACACCTTGGATGATGTTTATAGGTTACCTGGCTCTGGCAAATGGCGGCCTGGGAATCTTACAGACAAATAATCAGGTAGGTCTTTTTCATTTCCTTTGTTGTGGCGGATTGTGAAAAGGCGAGTCTTGCCACACGATCGAAATTGACATTATTATCAACGCTGTAATATAATAGCATGCATTGACCAAGTCAGCGAGCCTGACCACCCCATTACATTGGCCATCTCTCACAAGTATCAACTGCTGAATGCCAAAGCCGAATACTGCAAGTAACATGTGTCACAAGCAGGTTGTAGGTTGTTTTACAAGCTGAATGGGTTTGCACACCAAGAATCCGAAAGCATTACGACAACCCGTTAATAAGACTTGTGACGGACATATCGTGGTTAGTTCAAACGTTTTTCTAGATCTATCAATAAAGAGAGACATTAGGTACATAGTCGTTCCATAGGAGAGTGAGTGAGTTGAGTGTAGTTTTACGCCACTTTTAGCAATATTCTAGCAATATCACGGCGGGGGACACCAAAAAATGGGCGTAACACATAGTACCCATGTCGGGAATCGCACCCGGGTCTTCAGCGAACGCTTTAAGCACTAGCCTATCCCACCGCCCCTCGTTCCACAGGAACCGGGTCCACATATATGGATGCATATGGGTACACTTAACATGGACAGTTCAGTAGTACAACGTTGAGCACTGTGACGAACATACAACAATGGAAACATACAAAATATCCTTGCTTGTGGGCAGCTAAACCTCAAACGCCTTTAACGAGGATATCGGTCCCATTGGGCCTCTGGACCCAATAATTAATAAGAAGACGTCAATCGAAAATACGTCACGATATGGCTGAAATATTGCCGATGTGACGTTAAATATTCACTCACAAAATCGACAATATATTTAACATCAGCTGATATTTTATGTTCATTGATTTCTTTGTACTGCAGGTATCGTACATGTTCGAGAAAGGTGGACCGACCGTCATAGGGCTCATATGTGGAGCTTTTGACGCTTCCGGGGCTGTCATGCTGGGTGTGAAGGTAAAACTGACTCAAAACAGTGTCGTAATTAGTATACTGTGATGGTATATGTAGAATATAGCCATTCTGAAAACCATTTGAATGCATGAGCAATGCCTTGGGCACACACTGCCACAGTTTCAGAGACAGTAATACAAACAATTCTTACCAGGATATGTAGGTAAAATAATTGTATTATGTTCGTTGGTTAACTGATTTGTTGTTTTACGCCGCACTCAGCAAATAATCGAGTCTGGACCAGACAATCCAGTAATCAACAACATGAGCATCGATCTACGCAATTGGCAACCGATGACATGTGTCAACCAAGTCAGCGAGCCTGACCACCCGATCCCATTAGTCGCCTCTTACAACAAGCATGGGTTACTGAAGACAAATTCTAACATGTATATTCACGGGTCACTACGTTATTAAATCCACCAACTTGAACACTATATAGAACACTTGTCGTTAAAGCGTTCGCTCATCACGGCGAAGACCCGGGTTCGATTCCCAACATGGATACAATGTGTAAAGCCCATTTCTGGTGTTCCCCTGTGATATTGCTGGAATATTGCTAAAAGCGGCGTGAAAGCCAACTCTCTCACCTTTTGGGATTTAACTTCTCGTTACACACTGATTATTAATTTGGTCATATCACGGGGTATCGACTTGATGTGAGGGAATCATTAAAGGTCGAAGTAATTAGGGTCTTTGGCATTTACCTTGAAGAATGAGTGGATGAGTTTAGTTTTACGCCGCACTCAACATCATAGTGTTGTTTCTGTTGATTCCTCCATCAGTATTCAAGGAAACCGTCCTTCTGTTTCAGCTGGCATATGACAATGGTGTGTCTCTTCAGATGTCCTTCATCGTTATCGGTTGTTTGAACATAATGGCAGTCATTAGCACCTTTACGTTCCTACCTAAGAAATTTATCAAAAACACCCAACCCAATTCGAACACTGATGCAGACCAGGAAGCAGTCTCATCTGAAGGGGCAAACCATTCTTCCTTGAATATTAAAAACGAATCGTCGGAAAAGACAATGCTCCTTCGTGGTCAAAGCAGAAACCTGACCTTGCATGGTCTGAGATCCGAGGCTAGTGACACACCTCCAGGAATCGACACTTATCCCACAGCTGAAGAGGGGAACCACGTGGCCACGAAGGGTGACGTTTCCGGGATGAAGGAAGATAAAGAAATATCAAAGAACAGCTTACTGTTGGGCTACATCTTCAGCCCTCTATATATGCTGACTGTTGTGTGGGGCTGTGTGATTCAGTTGATATTTGTACTTTTCATCGGTTCGTTCAATGCCTGGCTGGAACATATCACACACCACGTGCAAGAAAGAGGTGAGAACAGGAAAAGATGTATTTATACAACTAATACATTGTGTAATTCAATAGTTGTATGTAGATGTGTATAATGACTAGTACGAGGTATATTAATTCAGTTGTCAATCTAAGAGTTATTAAGTCAGTAGCAGTGTGTCATTATGCGTGTTTACTGGTTAGAGAGTTATGATGTTCATCGCCGTATGTTGAACCATGCTTGTAAGAGTGGTAATTAATTCATGACTATATGTGGCAATGAGCATAGTCCTTACGATCTCGTGCATAGTGTACGAACTGTAGACTGGGAGGAGAGTTATCCATTGGCAATCTTCCGCAAACATCCCATTGTGAAACTTCCATGCGAAACAAGTAAGGGACATTTTGAGTGAGTGACTTTAGATTTTACGCCACACTCAGCAATATTCCAGCTTTTTGGCGGCAGTCTGTAAACAATCAAGTTTAGACCAGACAGTCCAGGGATCAACAGTATGAGCATCGATCTATGCAATTGGGATACGTGACATGTGTCATCCGATCCCGTTAGTCGCCTCTTACTGAAGACCAATCCGGATCTTCACGGGTCCAGTCGAGTTTGGAAATTACCTGATGAGCGCTTCTTGGACCTTTCCGTCGAACGTGGCGTAGTGTCACAATTGCGCTCAACATTTTCCATGGCGTAGTCACAGGTCAGTACCATCTAGACAACCCATCACTGCACAACATTAAAAATTAATTTCGCCTTTCGTGGTGATAATAGATAATATTACTGGTTGTGTTGGCTGCAAAATACAAAATTTGGAATTTGACTCCGACTTCTTTAATGACCTGGGGCTCATTTCACGAAGCAACATTTACTAAGGTTAACCTTAACTCCCATTCTTTAACATTGCACTAAGGTTACCTTAGTGACTTACGATCACTTTAGTGCTTTGTGAAAGGAGGCCCTGGTACAGTGGGGTAGCCTGGTGTTTGAAGCGTTCGCTCGTCACGCTGAAGACCCGGGTTCGATTCCCATAATGGGTACAATCTGTACAGCCCATTTCTGTTCCCCCACCGTGATATTGCTAAAAGCATCGTAAGACTAAACTCACTCACTCTTTAATGACCTAGTGCACAGCCATATCATAACAGCAACACTTAGAACCCATTTCATCGGGTCGCCTACTCAAACATGAACATATTATTTACATCGCATTAGCCATTACCATGTGGTTAAGAAGACAGGGCTTGATGATTCCCTCTATCCCCTACTTGCTCCGTTCAGGGTGGTGTATGTGTAGCATTTTACGCCATTTATGATCTGTGATTTAGTGATAAGCTACACGATGACGGCACATGTTGAAATGATAGATCGCTTGATGGCTGAAAGAGACGAGACCGTGGGATCAGCTCACCCTGACTGTTCATGTTAAACTGTTGACGTGTAAAATCGGCATTTAAAGAGTTCTTCCTATTGTATATATTCCTCTGTCGTGTACATGGAATATATTTGAAATGTTTTATGTAACACAAGGTTGATTACATTTAAACATTGATGTCCTTCTTTGTGAATAGGGGCTGTGGGGTAGCCTAGTGGTTAAAGTGTTCGCTCGTCATGCCGAAGACCCGGGTTCGATTCCCCACATGGGTACAATGTGTGACGCCCATTTTTGGTGTTCCTCGCCGTGATATTGCTGGAATATTGCTAAAAGCGGCGTAAAACCATACTTACTCACTCTTTGTGAATACCGGACACAGAGAGTTATTAGTTAACAGTTGCATGCTGGTTTGTTGTTTTACGCCGCACTCAGCAATAATTCAGCTGTATGGTGGCGGTCTGTAAATAATTGGGTCTGGAACAGAAAACCCCGTGACCCCGTGACCAACAGCATCTACGCAGCTGGGATACGATGACATGTGTCAATCAAGTCAGCGAGTCTGACCACCCAATCCTGTTAGTCGCCTCTTGCTGAAGACCAATTCTAACCCGGGTAGTTGACCGATCAGTGTGTGTACCGGTAGGAGCGTCATTAATTTAATAGTGTTATGCGAGGGCGTTGATAATTCATCAAACCGCAGGATCGATATATCCGTCAATAAGTGATTACGACACAGCTATGTGAATACATTAGTTGAAAAAGACACGCATTATGTTCGTTGAACTATTTGTTAAGGTATAATACACTGTATTCATTCTCTAATTGTTAAGAAAGAGAGTATGGTCATAGAGTAAATGTTACGTTGTAGACTATATACGTTAATTAGTTGTAAAACATTGACGATATCAGTGAGCTAATTTGCACATAAGAGCTAATAAGACATGGTATATTCATGAACTAATTGTTCAGACATAGACTGTTTTCTTGCAGTGAGCGTCCTGACAGACTTCTTGTTCACAGTCATGCTGGCTTCGCCGGTGGTGTCTATACTATCTGGGGCCATGGTGGACTTCTTCTATTCTATACAACCAGGTGATTATGAAGTGACGACAACTCCCTACGCTTTAACCATTGGACTATCCCACTGGCCTCATATAGATTGACGTTCAAAAGAAAGTACACACCTGATTCTTTGGTAAAATATTTTCTTTAAAACAGCATTAATATTTAAAAAGTGTTTTGATTCTGCCTTGTCACAAACATTGTGCAAGTGTTTCCAAAACACCACAGATAGTGTACCATATTACAACATTGCTAGCAAATATTTATGGTTTTAATGGGAATAGTCCCAAAACACCAGGTGTGTACTTTCTTATGAACGTCAGTATGGATTGAAGGGATCAGTTGTCTTAAAGGATCTCTAAGTAAGACATGCACTGAGATCTATGCCACATTTCTTTACAGGTGATTTAAACCGAGAGGCAAACCATTTGTCATATGCTTTAACTGAAAATAAATGTTATCCAAAATATAAACTGTAATAAAAACGTATGAACCATTATAGTATACTTCTCTATGGTTTTACGTTTCAAAGTATATTTTGATTTGATAAGTTGAGCCACAATCTAATATACTCATGCCAATAATGGTTGTCACCCCCTTCAATTTTTTTAATTGGAGAGGGGTTGGGGGTGTGAGGTGTGTGTGGGGGTTGGGGTGGGGAGGGGGGTGACCATTATTGGCATGAGTATATTATACAATCATTTCGCATAATACACAACCACTGTATGGTATCTTAGACCTTCTTTAAAATGAATGAATTTCCTCTCTTTCACGGTACAACATGGCAGGGTCCATGTGGATGGTAATTCATTTTATGCCTCATTTCACACCAATTGATTTTACAAAAAATTACCCATCTTCAGATTACTTTTTGCAATGATGAGTTATGGTTATGTAGTCATAATCAGATTTAACAACAGTTCTTTTAAATGTCAGCTTAAAAAAGAGAGCAGAAACCAATCAACATATTTCCCCTGGGTTAAGGTGATCATACTTTCAGCAATTCTCAGTGAGAAATTAGTTTTACGTTATGCTGATTTGTCAGTTCAGGAACATTTTCCCGCAGTTTTTATTGTTTATGGATAGGCACTCAACAACGTGGGACTTGAGGAAGACTTTATCTATTTCTCGTGAAATCAAAATCGTATAACAATTTGTGATTGTGTCCACCAACTTTGAATTAAACCGGAGGAAGTTTTATAAAACACCCCATTCCCAATGAATGCCAGATCTCATAACTCATTTTATGTGTGCATTTGTTTTATAAATATAGAAATGAGAAGCCATAAAACCCGGACTCATTACGCTCTAGCTGCGCCTATTGCCTTAACCAACTTCCTGGCCTTGATACTGTGCGCATGCGTCGTTGTCGAGAGAGAGGATATGACGTATGTAACGGTCATCACATCCGTGTTATACAGAACGCTCCTATATAGTGGCTTGACCCTGTTTTCAAGATTGATGTAAGTATTTTCTCAACCGATGATTTTTTTTTTTGCTGGCATTTATACTTTTAAAAATCTGTTCACATAAATATCTACACCAGTCAATACTATTTTTATATAACTTCGATTAGTTGCAAAGTATGCCGCCATCTTGTTACTGGAGTATCAACTGTTAATGTTTTTCGATGGCGTTGAATATATAATTCAATCTACTTTTTTATCGTTTAGCAAAATAACATTTTACAAATAAAAAGGATATTCCCAGTTGCATATATTTTGTGGTTTATCATGGCTGAAATACTGCCGAAATGACTTTAAGTATAACTTCACCCACTCAAGAGACTTTTGTCCGAGTTTTGTAAGACGTTATAATGCCGATTAGTCCCGAACTCGCGCGTCTTCTGCAGGTACCCGAGTGAATATTTTGCGGCAATATATGGTGTCTTATTCACGATCAGCGGCTTGGTGAATTTCCTGCAATATCCTCTGTTTCTCTGGTGCCAGAGCTCCCCAAGTGGATATAGACAGGTGAGTGCTGTGTAGACAGGTGAGAGTACCACGTGCCGACATTCTCGTGACTAAATCCCAGATGCTGCGGTCGACCAACTGGGTGATTCTCACTGTCGCAAAAACAATTTTGGTATGTAATTCAGATATGATAAAAGTATATATCCAGTGATTCTTCGCACTGTCTGCATGGTAAGCTTTGCTCCAGACATTGAGAAAGTGTTTTAAGGGATGTAACGGTTATCTTACAGTTATGATCCACGCAGTCGGAATCCAATGACAGGTGATCAAGCTAGTCCAGATTAAGAATGACCATCCGATTCACTGGCTGAATTACCTATTTATGGGACCCCACTGCAATAACACAAGATCACACATACGCACGCACACAAGTAATACGTACAAGAAACCTTCCTAAACGCAACCAAACTTCAATTTCACGTCTATATTATATTATCCTATTTGTTTATAAGCCAAATAAAAAGAGACTATTGCTTAAGGGTGTTTACTCAATGTCATATTTCTGAAGTAAAAGTCCATCAGTCACCTGTATAAAGTCTTATATCATCCAAAACTGTGTTCCACGGAGATATTGCTTGTCTGACTGACTGAGTTTGGTTTTACGCCGCTTTTAGCAATATTCCAGCAACATCACGGCGGAGATATTGCTTGTGTGAGATCAAACGATAGATCTCCTATCGATAGTAAATTTTGTACAATGCCCTGACATCATCATTTACATGACTCACAATGCTATGATGTCAAAAAACTGATGACGTCACAATGCTATGACATAGCTGCACTGCAAGTCTAATGGCAGTACCGTGTTCAGAGATGTGCATTTTTCATTGAAAACTAATGAAGAGTGATTTTTGATGATAAATAGAATCTCACCCTCGTGTCAACACTAGTTGATAAAAGTAAAAATATCCCCGGCAAGCCTCGGATATTTGTAACTTTATCAACTCTTGGTGATATATTTGATATCAAAGGACACTCGGGTGAGATTCTCTATAGATTAACAACGGTCTTTATTGAGTGAGTATGGTTTTACGCCGCTTTTAGCAATATTCCAGCAATGTCATTGCGGGGGGGCACCAGAAATGGGCTTCACATATTGTACCCATGTGGGGAATCGAACCCGTGTCTTCGGCGTGACGAGCGAACGCTTCAACCACTAGGCTACCACACCGCCGAGACCTTATTAAGTGCCAAAGTAACTTACAGGTTCAAGCCACCATATTGTACTTTGTACTGAAACATTTAATCGTCATGCTCAGAAACGGTTGTTCCCAAACCCAGATTCGCCTCGATTATGGTTTTAGATACATGCAGTTCTCATTGCATTCACGAAAACGGTAAAAGTCTCAGATGTGAATCACTTCAATGGTTTTCTCCACAACAAGCTGGATCGCTGAGGTATAACTGATATATAGTTCAGAGCCACGTTAAACACCCTCATTTTGTGTAGTATATAGTTCAGAGCCACGTTAAACACCCTCATTTTGTGTAGGGGCGGTGGTGTAGCCTAGTGGTTAAGGCGTTCGCTCGTCACGCCGAAGACCCGGGTTCGTTTCCAAACATGGGCACAATGTGTGAAAGCCCATTTCTGGTGTCCCCCGCCGTGATATTGCTGGAATATTGCTAAAAGCGGCGTAAAACTCAATCACTCACTCATTCTGTGTATGATGACTTACGTGTGTTTTCTCTTTTTCTCAGGTATACGGCATGCTTGGTCTGGCGTCTATACTGATATCAGTACAGCCGATATATTTGATATATACAGGATACAGAGAGAAACAATAACCTCATGTATATCTAAGTGTGTGATTTGAGTCTATTGCTCAAGGCAACAAAGAAAGAAAGAAATTTTAGTAGTTACCACTATCAATGTAAATTTCACCATCAAAACAATGCTCTCGAGTAGCTATTATGGGCAAGCCTTGTTCATCCAGAATCACGCTCAGAATCATGTGAATGGAGTGATAATTGAAAATTAAATAAAATTACAAAAGATGCGAAGCCCAACTGTAATAGGGCAACACCATGGTTCTATCTGCCACTGTATAATTACTTCACCGTAACATTTGGCAAACTCCTGGTGCTATTTCTGAGCATATGAATCTTTGACCACGACATGTCAAGCTGTCTCTCAGTGTATATTGTTCAAATGTTACGGTGTGAAAAATCTCGTTTCTGCCATAATCCGGGCTATATCTGTCAATGTATACTTGCTTGAATGTAATATATTACAAAATCATGGTGCTCTCTGTATATTATGCAACCTTAATTGTGGCAAAATCAAAGTTATATCTGTTAGTGCTTGTATTGTGTTACCATAACATGTTCATAAACCTTGTTCTATTCGTCATGGTACAATTGGACTGTATCATATAGCATAATCCACCTACTAGTATTCATTCCGGTACATGTACCCCCATAGCCCTTTTCCCCATTAATTGTCTTTCTCCGTTGTGTTTGTAAGCAGAACGCCGAATTTCTTTCATGGAAATAAACATACATAATTGTACAGCATGTGTCTACTTAATCATGTGGTGGTTAGCCAAACAACGACGATTCGAATCGTATTTCAAAATAATCACGGCGAGTAGTGTAGTGTTGAAATGAAGTGTGCACAGGACAGATTTAGCTAGTACGCACCAAGGTGGAGGCGTGTTGAGGAATTTTCGTGAATTTCTTATCGGGCTTTACCAAAACATATCGTTCGCTGTACATGTTCTGATGACGTGTTTTGTGTCCAAATAAACTAATTGGCTCCACATTTCATAGACAAAATGTCGAGATGCACTAATTACGTGAGTTTGTGAGTACGGTTTTACGCCGCTTTTATCAATGTTCCAGCAATATCACGGCGGAGGTCACCAGAAATGGGCTTCACACAATGTACCCATGTGAGGAATTGAACCCGGGCCTTCGGTGTAACGAGCGAACGCTTTAAAATAACCACTAGGCTACCCCACCGCCCCGCACTAATTGAAAAAATAAGATATTTCCCCAAAGCATGTAAAGGTCGGTCCCTTAAAGCTCGATAATTTCAAATTCTTTTGAGAAAAAATACTAAATTAAAAAGCCAACCAAAACACGAACCTCTCTAGCGTAGAGAGAGAAAGAATATTGGTACGTAACTCACTTTGGTACGGTATCTTCAGCACCGGCAACCAATGCCCTGTAGCCAATAATACTTGGAGCTCACGTAAAATCTCCATGCTAAGTTCCATTGACATCGGATCGCCTTCTTTCACCTCGAGGTCGTCATGGCCATGTGGAGACCATTATAACATACCCATTAAGATTATTAATTGACGTTCATTGCCTTGATCTACTCCCATTAGAGGTAAAGCACGATGCATTAATTCCCTTCAGCATTGTGACCAATACAACAGCTACAACAACGATAGTAACACCATTGAACCTCGAGTTAAGGAGACACATGGGATTTCGCCTACGCTGACTAATCACTTTCATAGAGTGTGCACACTTTAACGTTTATTTATTATCCGATATAATTATCTTTCATCAAGACAGATGGCATTTCACGTGCTCTTGTTAGGGTTTGGACATTATTTAGTGGGGTTTGGTTAGCACATTTATCGTTGTGAATGTTCTTGACAAGTGGTTTCTGTCACTGTATTTACGTTGTATATTCAGACATATCCTTTTCATTACGTGTTCATATCGCAACACATTTGTTGATGAAAGGTTCCTTAACCCGAAGTGTTACCTCCCTTAGTGAGCCCTTGCCTCTGATGCTAACGGTAACAGAGTGAGTGAGTGAGTGAGTATAGTTTTACGCCGCTTTTATCAATACTCCAGCAAGCCAGCGAGTATGTGTTTTCGCAGCTTTTAGCAATATTCCAGCAATATCACGGCAGGGGACACCAGAAGTGGGCTTAACACATTGTACCCATGTGGGAAATCGAACACGGGTCTTCGGCGTGACAAGCAAACGCTTTAACCACTAGGCTACCCCACCGCCCCTATATTCCAGCAATATCACAGCAGGGGACAATGGGCTTCACACATTGGGCACATTGTTAGGAATCGAACCCGGGTCTTCGGCGTGACGAGCGGACGCTTTAACCATTGGGCTACCCCACCACCCCTAAAGGTAACGGAAGCTTGCATACTTTACCAGCCAAGCAGGTTATACAAGATCGTTTATACACAAAAACGCTGCACTTTCTTGAATTTGCAACAATCTTAAAAAAAGTATCTAAACTGACGGGTACATAATCATGCATAATTACATACTTATAAGTATGTAAACTAACGGGTAAATGAAAGAATACCCTGATAAATCTGATTTAATTAAAAGCATTTTCATTACCAAATTTGAACTGTCAACCAAAAAATCGTTCACCTGAAATGAAATTTAAACAAAACATTATCTAGATGTTACTGGTCTGAACACAAATAATGTCCGAAATGCAGCCACGATACCAGTATGAGTACATCTCCATGAAATAACCATTGCATGCTTGTGTCATTCACATCAAACGCGGCCGTGTCAGTTCTTTTGCCCGGCAGTAGAGTTAAAATAGACAACGTCCCCTTCTGATTAAATCAAGCAGATTAAATATCATTGCAAAATATACTAAATGCAGCTGTATGGACGCACTCATACCAGAGACGTGAAAGCAGAGGAAATGCCAGGAGAGAAGTGTGCCTCTGGGCCACACTTTTCTGAGATTAATCGACGACAGAGTTGGTTATTGTTCAAGTCTTGACTTATATAAGACATTTTGCTGCTTTCTGTTTTTATCAAGCTTTTGTTGAAATGTTTGCACTTAAGCATTCGAGGCGGTGGGATAGCCTTGCTGTTAAAGAGTTCGGTCATCTCGCCTAAAACGCCACATGGGTCACTCACTCACTCACTCACCGATCGATTGTACTGTATCTGAACCTAACTCTGTACTGTGTTTGACTGACATACTGACTGACTGAGTTTGGCTTTACGCCGCTTTTAGCAATATTCCAGCAACATCACGGCGGGGGACACCAGAAATGGGCTTCACAGATTGTACCCATGTGGGGATTCGAACCCGGGTCTTCGGCGTGACTACTGTGTTTGACTTCAACCTTATTGCTCCTGAACGTAACGTTAACTCTCCAGTTGGCTTCGATCGTACGGTATCTGAACTTAACTCTCTACTGTGTTTGACTTCAACCTTATTGCTCTTGAACGTAACGTTAACTCTCCAGTTGGCTTCGATCGTACGGTATCTGAACTTAACTCTCTACTGTGTTTGACTTCAACCTTATTGCTCCTGAACGTAACGTTAACTCTCCAGTTGGAGTCGATCGTACTGTATCTGAACTTAACTCTCTACTGTGTTTGACTTCAACCTTATTGCTCCTGAACGTAACGTTAACTCTCCAGTTGGCTTCGATCGTACTTCAACTCATGTTTGTTTCTGAACACACAGTACGTGAACTTAATCCTCCTGGTTCAGATCGTAGTATAACTGTGTATATTATTACCTAACTTTTATGTGTCTATCTCGGGTAATCCAGACAGAATACCATGCACGATGAGCTTTATTGTACAGGTCACCATGGAAACATTGCTGACATTTTCCATATTCTCATATCAGATTGTTTCTCTCAAAAAGCAAATTTCATAAAAACTGTTATGAATTTCTTGTTTTAAATCCGACAATGTTGCTCCGCGGCAGCAACCTACCAGAAGACGCAGGAGCATCTCATATACAATCTCAAACTATATTAATCACGATTTTCTAATTTTCAAACGGAACTGTACATGAGCCATTTACATCACTGTCATCTTGGAAACAAAAGACACACCTAAGCAATATCTTGAGGAACATTAAATTACCTGTCATAAGAAAGACGTTTTTCATATATACCATGATATGCCATTATAAGATGCCATCAGTGTTGTCAGAGATATTATCTAAATGTCATCAGTGGTTCATATGACCAGATTTATTACCACTTAGTCCAAAGTTGTGAAGATTAGGGAAGCACAATGGTATATATAACCATGTGAGGCATTAAACCCAATCATGTAACAGAAACATATCAGTCGATGTATACATCATCAATGGTGTCATGCTTTGCGATTTGAAGACTGATATACGCTATTCGGTTTGATGCCTCACATTTCCTATATTTTAAAGCGAAATTAATCTTTGCAATACTATATCCTTGTAGGTTCATCGGGGCGGTGGGGTAGCCTAGTGGTTAAAGCGTTGGCTCGTCACGCCGAAGACCCGGGTTCGAATCCCCATATGGGTACAATGTGTGAAGCCCATTTCTGGTGTCCCCCGCCGTGATGTTGCTGGAATATTGCTAAAAGCGGCGTAAAACCAAACTCAGTCAGTCAGTCAGTGTAGGTTCATCAATTATATCCATTATATCAAGGCGTCCCAGCTGAAAGTGATGCATATCTCCGACGTTAACCAGATGGTGTAACCGACGATGGGGTAGCGAAGCATCACCATGTGCCGTCACATGTGTCCCCCGCCGTGATGTTGCTGGAATATTGCTAAAAGCGGCGTAAAACCAACCTCAGTCAGTCAAGCAGTCATAACGTTAACGTTGTATTCCCGTCGTGTATTCAAATAGAACATACTCGATGAGGTGGTATATGAGAGGGATCACGGCGTTAAATCCTTCAAGTACTTCCATATGTGGGGTGGTGGGGTAGGCTAGTGGTTAAAGCGTTCGCTCGTCACGCCGAAGGCCCGGGTTCGATTCCCCTCATGGGTACAATGTGTGAAGCCCATTTCTGGTGTCCCTAGTCGTGATATTGCTGATAAGCGGTGTAAAACCATACTCACTCACGTCCATATATGACACATACTGCAGTAGGGTCTGGGAATATGAACATATATCATTACTTTGTATTTCCTGTGTTTATATCTGTAGAACACCCACAGCAGTGATGAGGTTGAGAATACCCATGCCGTTATATCCTCCATGTATATTTGTATGAGACGTCTACTATAGCAGAAGGGTTGGGGAATATGAACATATATGGTTACTTTGTATTCAGTCACTGTGTTTATTTATGTAGAAGACCCACAGAAGTGATGAGGTTGGGATGAACCATGACTTTACACCCTCCATGTAATTTTATTGGGACATCTGCTGCTGCAGGAGAGTTGGGGATATCAACATATATCATGACGTTGCACTTTCTCTGTTTACTCGTATAGAACACCTACTGCTGCATGTGCTTGGGGATATCAACATATATCATGACGTTGCACTCTCTCTGTTTACCCGTATAGAACACCTACTGCTGCATGTGCTTCGGGATATCAACATATATCATGACGTTGCACTCTCTCTGTTTACCCGTATAGAACACCTACTGCTGCATGTGCTTCGGGATATCAACATATATCATGACGTTGCACCCTCTCTGTTTACCGCATAGAACACCTACTCCTGCATGGGGCTTGGGGATATCAACATATATCATGGCGTTGCACTCTCTCTGTTTACTCGTATAGAACACTTACTGCTGCATGTGCTTCGGGA